AGAAGCCTGTGAATGGACCGCATGATCCAGGAAGTATGAAGACGAAACCCGGCTTATCGTACCGTCTGGACATATATCGATGAGTGAGTCGACTGCAAGTCGAGCACCCGAGCACACTCTGTAAACACTGCAAGTCGAGCACCCGGTTTCTGAATCCAGCAGAGGGGGTGCGGTATATATATATATATATTTTTTTAGAAATGGATCGTACTCACCCAACATGGTTCCCACGTTGGAGCCCTGTCCGGAGAAGCCTCTAGACCAGACCATCAGTAAGGTGGTCACTATGAAGCCATAGAACCAAGCAAAACATCATAGGTCCAGTAGGAGACTGTTATGCAGGAAGTTTCCACCTAACCTCGGTCAGGTGGAGAGATGGTGGTTACAGGGGAATTAGGAAGGGGAAGATAAGGGCAGATGTTAAACCCCCTGAGGGAAATGAGTAGATACTCAAGTATCACTCTGATCCGGACGAAAGCGCTGACGCCTTGTCTGGATCACATCCCTTAGGTCTTGCCTACCTCCTTTTGACCCGTGATTCTCCCTACCCCTACCCGCAGGTGGAGGAGGAACGCGAGTCGTGACACTAGCTTTCTGTGCTCGTTTCTGATCCTCAAACCGAGACGGGCCAGGACCCCTGGGTTGTTTGGGCTCAGACCTGGACCTTTGTGGAATGAAGGATTTGAAGGCCGCTGAGCGCGCCTTCGCCTCCCTGAACTTCTCGACCACCGTCTCAACGGAGGTACCAAAAAGTTCAGAGGGCGAAACCGAGGCATTGAGAAGAAAGCCCCTTTCTTTCCTCCTGAAGTCTGCCTTCTGAAGGTCTGAAGGTTCACCCACAGATGCCTCTCCGTCACTACCATAGCCGCCATGGATCTGATCTGCCCACAGCAGAGGCGGCCTGCTTAGTAGCACGGAGAGCGAGATCCGTGGTTTGGCGCAACTCAGCTGCCTCATCAGGAGAAAGGCCCTTGCCTTTATCCAGGTCTTTCAACAGGTCAGCCTGGTATGCCTGGAGCACCGCCATAGTGTGCAGCGAAGCAACAGCCTGACCTGCTGGTGCATATGCCCTGC